AATTGTCTTCTTTCTAGCAATCTTCTTCCATAAACAACAACAGTCACTGCTAAAAGGGTTGCTTGCAAACTTACCAGAAATATTTTTGGGGGAATATTCCAGTCTTCAAAACAAACAGTAGCTGTCAAATTCTTACTGCATAATCTAAAATGTTAATCCATGTACTGTATTTCATTTGTAATAAGTCTTTGTGATAAGGTTAACACTTCAGCACACAACACAAGTAAGAGAGCACCGAAAAATGAAAATTACTTTGCTTATGTTTCCGTATTAGAATTTTATTTGCTAAAGGGTAAAAACAGATTTGCAAAATTCACAGTTAACTTAAAACAATAGTTTTAAACCTTTTATTCCTAGCCCTTACTGCCTTCAGGAAGGAGAGAACATCTGGTTATTTAAGGAACACAATATGTTCACATTTTCTATGACTTTTGTTTCTAATTGGGTTTTTAAATTTTTTTTTTGAATTTGAACAACTAGTTAGAACAATGTTTTTTAATCACTTCATATTTTTCAGACTGTCCTCCTTCTATCCCTCTACTCCATTTAGTGGATTGTTTTTGGAAATCTGCTCAGTGGTTCTAATATGATAAAGACAAGAAAACAGGAACTAGGATCATGGTCAAAAGAGCCAAGTATAGGAACTGTATTTATGGTGAACAGAGTATAGGATGCTATAAACAGCTATTTGACATCTAGTCTCTATATAGTATACATTTAAGAAAATTTCAAATAGTGCTAGGTCCACTTATTTACATGGCAGTTTCATTTATTACAGATGCAAATTAAATGTCTATTACAAATTAAATAATATTTATGACAAATATTAGTAAATAGGATTCTACTATTTTTAAAACTGTAGCTCTTGTGTGGAAAGGTGGTTGGAAGACCTGGGTTCAACTGTTGGCTCTGCCACTGACAAGCTGTATTAAATGACTGTCTTAACTTCACCTTGATCCTCAGTTTGTTCATCAACCAAAAGAGGAGCTGGATTAGATCTCTAGGTTCTTTGCAGTTCTGAAATTACGACAGTCTAAGTGAGATTACTGACTAGATTCTTTGTTACGTCTTTTTTGTTCCATAACATATGGAGGTGGTAATAGGTTTTCAAACAATTCTGACACACAGCAAATCCAGGAACTAGATGCCCTTTACGTTCAGGTTGTAGGGTTCATTAACCATCTTGATAAAAATGGTAGCTGACAAATATACAGTTGGTGATGGCTTCCATAGAATGTGGATATGGGTTCTGGAAATATGCTAGTTGAGTGAGATTCACCTAGATTAGAGTCAGTATGGTACACAGGAAGAGGCTTAGCAAATGAGTCAGAGTTCAATTCTACCATTCTCTCTTTTTTTAAATTTTATTTATTAATCTTGAGAGAGAGAGAGAGAGAGAGAGAGAGAGAACGAGCAAGCACGTACATGAGAGCGAGGAAGGGCAGAGAAAGAGAGAGAATCCCGAGCAGGCTTTGCACTGTCAGCGCAGAGCCCAACCTGACTCAGGGGTCACAAACTGTGAGATCGTGAACTAAGCCTAAATCAAGAGTCGGACACTTAACTAACTGAACTACCCAGGCGTCCCTACCATTATTTTCTTAATACCAACCACTGCAGGACACAAAGCTAAATGCTAATAAATGAGTCGGATCATAAGAAGGAATAATGGATGCAATAAATAAGCAAATAGCTAAAATACAAGGTGCTTACAGGGACACAAAGGGGAAAACATATCCTATCCGAGCCTGAGAATAGCTTCCTGGAGGAGGCAGAAGGTATGCTGGGAATCTCAGGAGGGGATGGATACATACAAGGGTCATGGAGCCATTCTAGCTAGCTTGAAAGCTTACAAGTTTTCAGCCTGGGGAAAGCCACATACCCTTAATCTGTCTGCACTGAAAAAGAATGAAGAAAGATAACCTGCTTTGCCTACCTCATAGCTTGTTGTAAGGACCAAATTAATAAGCACATTGAAGTGCTTGGGAACCTTGAAGAGTATGATCCTATTATTACAGTTTACAGCCCTATTATTTCAGTCTGTTCAAATGAGAAATCTTTTCACAGTAAAGCCTACATCTGATATAAAACAATTAAAGCTCAGTGTCTTATCCTCTAGTTTCAAAGTCTATTCTCAGTTGAGCAATCTCCACTGGGATTTAGGGAGAGCACTGGGACAAAGTGCTTTTCTGAAGCTGGCAATGAACTTGGGGGGCTCAGAGTTCCTTGTTTATTTTTATTTTATTGAGTCTGTCAGCAACACTCAACACTACTGTCACAAGGAGCTGGGCTATGGGAAAATGTACTTTCATGCCTCAAATCTCATCCTTCTACTGGTTCGCTTCACAGAGACTCGTGTGGTTATATATTTACTCTGATGTACTTGAACTGGGAATGATTCTAGTATTTCTAAGTGTTTCATTGTTAATAATAAATAGAAAAAATTTAAGCACTCTGATGTCTGGATTTTTAGAGGATATGGGCAGGGTACTAGCATCATCTTTCCCTCTTTTTCTTCCCCCTCAGTATAAATGGCCTCCTATATTACTTTATAATTGACATTACTACACTGAAAAGTCTGTCCACTTGTGGATATCTGTGCTATATATAAACTTGCTGTGTTGCATTCTTTTTTTTTAATTTGAACCTCTGTAGCACTGGATTGGATCTTTAAAATATTTTTTTAAAGTTTATTTATTTTGAAAGAGGGGCAGTGAGAGAGGGAGGGAGAGAGAATCCCAAGCAGGCTCCACACTGTCAGTGCAGAGCCCAATGTGGGGCTCGAACTCATCATGAACTATGAGATTATGACCAGAGCCGAAATCAAGAGTTGGATGCTTAACTGACTGAGCCACCCAGGTGTCCCCTGGATTGGACCTTATTAGATCATTGTAAGTCAGTGCTTTGTAGCCATAGGAGCTCTGGCTGAGTGGGTCATCAGAGATAATTTAATTCAATCCCTATCGGGAAGACCAAGACAGCAAGCACGAATTTCCCCCAATCACAGGGATAGCTGTTGGCAGAGTCAAGATTGACCCCGTATCCTGATTCCTAATTCAGTCTCCTTGCTCCGTAACTAAAATTATCACCTTGCTGGGTTAGCCATGTGAAAGCCCCTTAATACTCTACAGCCTTCTTTATCTTTCCTATAGATATCATCATTCTACAAACTTGCTCTCAACAGCCTTTTAAACATGACTCCTTCCTCCTGACCAATTTCTTCTGTCTCAGAAATACCAATTTAAGGTTCTACATTTTTGGCCATTATCTTGATAATGTTTTTACTTAGTAAGACTCTGAATGTACAAGTGGGGAATGGAATACTTACGGTTTTGTTTTGTTTTTTTTAAAGATACTTATGCTATTATTTTTTTCTCTTAATCCTTAGAGAGAATATATTTTAAAGCTTATAGAATTGGCTTCATTATACTCGTATATTATGTATAATACCTTTGAGATAAAAAGTACTCTATTAAAATCACAGATTCCATTAATAACACTGATTGATTTATTGTATAGAATTCTGGAACAAGAAGAGTGGATGATTCATAGCAAGATCAACCATATTTAACTAGGGAAAAATTACTAAGATCAATAGGTTTAGATAACATATTCACTTCTCCCTTCAGTAAAACCAAATAAATCATATAAGTAGAGAATTCAAAGAGTTATTTTAGCAGTGTTTTCCCCACTCTGTATGTTTCTAAGAATTCCTAATGCTGAACTGATAGAGCTTACCTTAAGTTTATAGACCAAAACTCATATACCTCATTGACCAGCAACCTCATTCTTTACTCATTTTATAGATATTTCATAATTATGGGTATTTATATACAAAAATACGTAAAAATATGGAAATTCTGATTTTATAGTCAGACTCCTGAGCCTTACCAGAAAAAGAAAAAAAAAATATATATATATATGCTATCTTAAGTATCAGAGAAATGATGGATTATATTTCTGACACTTAATGAAATTTTGCATAGGAGAAATGATACAAAATTGCATATTTTTATAGAAAAATATATATAGACACAAGAAAATAAAATCTTTTAAATCTAACAAAGGATAAATAGAGGTCATACTCAAATGTTGAAGTCAACAGCCCAGGAGAAAGCAGAAATCCTTTAGAATTAAAATTTACGTTAAACTTGGAGGCCCAAGTCGATCAGACAGAGCTTTGGCAATGGATCCACAGACAGACTGACTCAAAGACAGTTCGACAACTGCCAACATGACTGTTGGGAATTCTGCCAAAGAGCCAAAGGCTGGGATTACCACCCAATGCCTGGCATTCTCATACTCGTGTTTGAAGCTCTCTCTCTGATACTTCATCCAATATTTTTGTTTGGCTCAAAAGCATCAAGGATTCACAGATTTTTTTAGATCATTAAATGTTCTTATTTTCAAGAAATATAACATTAGTTGTAAAAGAGCACACTTTTTCTCTGAAGTGTAAAGAAAATTTTGGTGGCTTGCTTTAAGTTCAAATAGAGAAATCAGCATTAAAGTCTGTTTAAGCCTTTATTTTATTAGGTTACTCTTCACCCAAAAAATAAAAAATACATATTCATAATATGGAATGATTTCATTGTATCATAAACTCTTACAGAAATAGTGCTTTTGATAGCTCTAATGAACACATGGCCCCTGAGGCTCTATCTCAGTCCCTGTGAGGAGTACCCATGATAATGAAGTGTGGCTATAAGGAGAAGTAGTTGCTCAACTATTCTTTGAGTTGTGAGGAAGGAGGAGGGCAGAACAACCTTCTGAGGGACAAGAGATAGGTGTTCCAGTTTCTCAGGGCAACGTCCACTTAATTTACCTGCTAAGTTGCTAGCCAGTGAGATATGTGAGTTTTGCCTACAACTCTAGACACATTCTTTCATTAGGCAGTTCCTCTGTCATTAGACAAATTCCCCATTAGCAATTCTTGGAGCTGTACTGAGAAACCAATTTTTCACCCAACTTAAAATTGTGCATACTCTATTTGGAAATCTTACCTTTGGATCTCGAAGGAACAGAGCCTTAAGAATCAGTGAGTGTACATCCCCAATTAGTGGGTAATGCATCAGAAGGCCAAGACAGGTCTGGTAGTTACTAGAGATCACTAAATAGGAGGAAAAAAAAAGTTCAGAAGCAATACTGTTTAAGATGTTTGCATTACTTGAGAGTAAAAAAATAACAACTTAGATTCAAAGAAAGCAAACCAATAACTCAATTAATTTGATAAAAGGAAATGGGGAAAGGGATCTTTACCAAATGGCCTTTGAAGCAGCACACTGTACTGTTAACTGCAATCTAATATCTAGTACTTATCCTCAGGGGGTGTTGGAAGAAGAGCCTCAGATATCGAGATGTGTACGTTTGCAATATAAATAAACTCTTAGAAGCATGCATATTTATTGCCATTTATATGTCTGTGTTTAAATGTCTCTAGTTTTGCTGCTTAGAAATTAGTAACAAAAATCTTATGAATGGGAAAGAACCAGTTTAAAATTATCATAAAATAATATTTACCTTAATTATGCTCCATAAGTTACATATGTTACATTTATTCTTTTATATATAAATATTACGTAATTCAAAGTTTTAAAAAATCTAATTTCTTTCAATTATTTTTTTCTAAAGGTAACGAGAAATTTAGGTAGAGTATCTATGCAGCGTTTCTTGGAGGAAAAATGTCAAAATCTTCATAGATAAGCCTAACTGTGTTCCTTAGACTGTCATTTAATTTTTTTTCCCAAATCAACCTAATTATGGGCGCAATTATTAAACACATCTTTTCAAGCAGGTCTATGTAAACTACTTCATTTCTTGGCAATCCATCTGCCACTGCTGTCACAGTCTTGCCCATTAATGACGCTTGTTTTGTAAGCCACACTGACTGCCTCCACAGCATTGATTGTGAAGAAACTTTACAGTTACAACTTCCTGTTGTTGCAACTGAATCCTTTTCATTAATCAGAACAAACAGTTGAAAAATATTCCATAGGAAAACAACTGTGATTCTATAGAAACAACATAAATCACAAAATAAACAATTGTTTGTGATCAGAAATACCCTCGATTCTTAAGATTTTTTTTTTCTTCTTTCGTTGAAAGCAACATTTTTTGCAACAGCTTCTCACCCCCTCCCCCTTCCCATGAACATTATGGGGAAAGGAGACAGGACTGGGCAAAATGAATAATTATAATCTATGTAAGGAACCACTTTATCATCTTCATTTCCGTTGCTGATCTGACAGCTTGTAATTTCATACATCTGCTTTCATTTGTAAAGCACTCACTTATCCTACCCTTTCTGTATCTGTTCAGACTACTCTCTCCTTATTCGTTCATTTTGTCATATTCACATTCAGTTACCTGTTACCCTTTTTTTCTCTAGAATTCAAAAAGCTAGCAGGCTGGGAACAGTATAATGCTTCCACGTAGTTTTTTCTTTGAGATCTAACAAATGAATAAAACTTAGATAATCAATTCATACTTACCCAAATACTATAATGATTATATACTAGTATATAATGACCCGGAAAGAATTCTTGTATATTTTGTAAGAGAGGCAGGAGGGTTTTGTGGGAATGGTTCTGGGCTCGGGACTCAAAGATGTGGGTTTGAATTCTGGGACACCGTATGAACCTTTCATAAAGTTGCCTTAAGATTAAAGGACATACTGTATGGCTGATTTATAGCAGCTGCTCAAAACCTGTTGGTCACCTCTCCGAGCTTAAACTCAGTCATTTGGAATACAACTTCCTGTTAAAAAAAATTATCTGCCTGCTTTATTCAATCCAATAGTTATTTGTTGAGTACCTAACCCATGACAAGCCCCATGTTGGGCGGGGAGGCAGAAATAAACAAAACACAGTCCTTACTCTGTAGAAAATTAAAGCGAAGAAGGGCAGATGTGTAACAAGAAGCAGTTATTATTATGACTACCACTAAGATGACAAAAAATTATCGAAGGCTTTCTGAGACCAGGCCCTATGCTAAGAATTTTCCCTACATTATCTCATTTAATTTCTACGACTATCTTATTATAAGGGTATAGTTATCATCCCTGTTTACAGATGAGAAAACTAATACTTTGAAAAGCTGAATCATTTCCCAAATCACACAGTGAGTTGGTAGCGGTGCAAGACTTGAAATTCAGAAATCTAGCTACAGGGTCTGCGCTCTAATACATGGCTTTGTTTTGAAAAGGCAGTTGGGGCGCCTGGGTGGTGGCCTGTAATGGGTTAGCCTGACTTCACCAGGTCACATCTCTGTGGTCTGTGGTTGAGCGGCGTCGAGCTCTGGTGGGCGCATGCTAACAGGCCCTAGCCTGTTCCGATTACTGTGTCTCCCTCTCTGCCCTCTGCCCCCTCACCTGCTCTGTCTCTCTGTCTTCAAATAAATAAACGTTGAAAAAAAAAAAAAAAAAAAAAAATAAAAAAAAAAAAAAAAAAAAGGCAGTTGTTTTAAAAATGAGATGCCATAATGAACGCAATAGTCACTGCAAACAGAAAAGCCAGTTAGTATTACTACCCTTGTTGTAGCAGTTTTAAGCAGCCTGGATGGTCAGCATAACCCTGTCTCTAGAATGGCCTGATATAGACAGGCACTTATTTGGAGGGACAAGGACAACAGTCCTGTTATTACAGCTTGAAAGAACTTTTGAAGCTGTCAGAAGCTGTAAAACATGTAAGGGAAGCCAACTAATGCGTTAATAATATCCTACTTGCAGAGTGAAAGAAGGAGCTAACATTCTTTCTCTCATTTCTCCCCTTCATCCACCCAGACACTGAATGCGATGAACATTTCCTGAGCATCTACTATATCCTGGACACACAGAGACCGCTAGGCACTGGCACTAGGGATATAATTGCAAATGAATCTGAGCTCTGAAGGGTAGCAGAACATGCCAGCTGATATACTGCTGCAGAGTGCTCACTTCGGCAGTACATGTGCTAAAACTGGAACGATACAGAGTCAGCGTGGTCCCTGAGCAAGGGTGACGTGCAAATTTGTGAAGTTAAATACTGCTATGGGAGTTCAGGACATGCCACCCCCAAATATGTCCCTTTGGTATACTGATTATTTTGAGCTATAGGCACTTGAAAAACAACAAAAACAGAGTGAGGCTTTCTTTGAACTCCCCTTATCTGCCTAAAGATAAATCCTCCAAAAGGAAGTCAATGGTCATAAATTCCCCCAGGACAAACTTGGTCACAAACTCATACCTTTCATCTATTCTTCTAAGGGTCCACTGTCTTTCCTAAAAATCATTTATTTTCCTCTATGAGATCTACATCCTCTCTCCCCTTTCTTTATTAAGACAGTATTTAATCCTAAATTCTAAAGCCATATCTTTGAGATTTGCTCATTATTCCCTGAGTACCAAATACAAATGAGACACACATTTTTATATACATGTCAATATGTATTAATTATATAATTATAAATATTTTATTAAGATTAAAATAATATTAAAATATATGATTATGTAATTAATACATATATAATTATATAATAAGATAGATGTTAATAAACTTCTGTTTGTCTCATTAATATGCTTTTTGTTAAAGAATGCAGCTGAAAACCTAAATGAGTGTAGGTGAAGTTTTACCTCCCCTATAGCCCACTGTCTTCAGATAATACTATATCTATTAATGAAAACTTGTACGTTTAGAGCACTTTTAATTTGCAATTGCATACGCGAAGCGTTAGGTCCATTTTGAATTGCCGTGCCCAATTAAGAGTAGGCAAGAGAGAATAACACAAGCTGGTTTACAAACAAAATAGCAGGGATCTGATCGAATAAGAATTTAGTTTTGATCTTTACAGCAGATTGTTGTTGCACGTGAGAAACTCATCCGCAGTGCTGTTCCTTCTCTAGTGCTTATTCTATCAGAGCAGGGCAGTGACACAGGAAAACAAGTAAAAAGGCTGATTTTTGCTATCTCCCTGCATTTGAAACCAAGTACATATATGCTTTCAAAACAAAGTACCGAAGCTGCACACCCTGAAGAGCTCACTCGGAGACGATGGAGACAAATGTAAGTGGTACCTAGGAAAACAGACTGGATTTGGAATCAGATGATCTAAGTTAGAATCTAGATTAGATCTACTTCAGAATGCTCGCTTACTCCGTGTGTGACCTAGGCAAGGCGCTTAACTTCATGAGCTTTATTTCTCCCATTTATAAAACAGATAATGATGCTTACACTACGCGCAGGGTTCCTATAAGGGTGGCACAGATGCAAGGTAGTGTGTTTCCCATCTTGTTTAATTCTTGCTGAATGGCACTCCCTCCGCATGAAGCAGAGCTGACTTCTCTGTCTCTACCTCTACATGGCACACGACTGTTCTGGAGGTGTCTAAGGGAGCTGGCTTAAATAGTTTCTCCAGTAATAAGAAAACAAAAAAATAATGAAATCAGTAAAGATAATCAGAGGATGATACTGTTTTGAGAAAGCCTAGAGCAATATGGTTAAATAACTTACATATAATTCAAAGTTAGCTGTACCTACAAGTGTAAAACTCGCAAATAAAACACTTTATTCTAATTACTTAATTTTATATTTAGATATACTTACTTTCTCAAGTTGACAAAATGGACTGGGAACAACCACCAAAGAACACAAAACTAAATGTAGACTTCCTTTAATTTCTCTAAAATTAAAAAAGTAATAGCTATCACTTATTAAGCATCTATAATGTGCCTGGCAACTTGCCATACATTATACAAATATCCTGTGAGTCCTGCTAATCCCTACTAAGGAACCTGTGGTCATCAACTCCACATTGTGGATGAGGAGACAGCAGTGCAGAGAGGATAAACAACACATTCAAGGCCACCGGGCTCCTGAACGGCAGAGACAGCGCTGAATGAACCCAGGTCTGTGTAGCTGACAGCCTCATTCTCCATCGCTATATCTTACACATTGCTGCACTCCTAGCAGAAAATGTCACGACAGGAGTATCCATGTACAGAGGTCAAGTTCAGACACAGGGCAGATGGCTTCTGAACACCAACTATGTTGTGAGTGACAGAGAAGCCTCAAAGATACACTGAAATAAAGGTCTCCGTATATAAGGGCAAGTATAGTAAATATTTAGAAATAGGCA